ATCTATTCGCCACTGAAGCATGCGTGGAATTTCTGACTTCTGCCAGAGCAGCTAACATCACAGCCGTATAACCAGCCACATTTGCCTTGTTGATGTCACAGACTTTCGAGTCTAATAATATAGATACTACGTCGAAGTTGCCATGAGAGACTGCGTAGTGCATCGCTGTATTTCCACTGGTGTCCGTCATATTAACGATATACTCCAGCAGAGTGCTAGAGCATTCTTCGAAACGATCCAAATAATCCTCGACATCTAACGGATTTGCGCTAGATGTGCTGGATATTTTGAACCATTCTTGCTGTATGATATTGGTAGCATTCTTAAGTTGATGAGAAATATTTCTGCTAGGTGATTTCTTGATGCTGTCATTAAGCACCTTCATGGCGGCCTGCATCTCTTTCGAAGGTTCGACTTTTTTTCTAGGTTTGTCCTGAATTGGTTGAAATAGAGTTGATTCGGGTAGCTCAGACTTTTCCTCGGTATCCGCTTCCTTCTCCACATTATGCATTTCTCCTGATGCAGTCTTTTCATCTTTGATCTTCTCAGATTGCAATTGTTGAATGCTACAAGAGAAAGAAAACAACCTTTTCATATCTATTTAAAAAAGAAATATTTAACAGATACATATAACATAAGTCTACTAAATTATTATTTTTTTATATTTTATATATAAAAGAAGTTGCAAAATGTATTCAATAAAATTAATGATATAATAGTTAACATAATTAAAAGAAATGAATTTTAAATTTCAAATTGAAAAACCTATAAGGGACGCTGTAAATAGAAATAAGGGATGAAATTATGGCGGGACGGTATAACGTTACCCTTCCGCGGCCGAATAAGGCGGGATATCAGTGACTTCGGAATCACAGAATGAACGAGGAGAGGCGCGCTGTGGCTGCTGTTGTTGCTGCTGTTGTAGCATCGATCTGTCGAGATCGAAACCGCGCTCACTTGTTCACCATAGCCAAAATCACTAATATCATACGAGACGCGCACTTACATAAGGATTTCCGTCGCGATATTTATGTCGTGGTGTTGTGCCAGAAAGAGCTCGATGACGCACCCGGCACGCGCGCAACCATGGACTCGAAAAGGACAACAAACTATCCGGTACGCTCGGCCGGCACGAAATACGTCATACGCGGCTTTGCAACCCTCTTTTCACCCCCTTTAGTAGCGGGAAATAATCCCCTTGCAACAGCGACCTTCGACCGCGGAAATAACAGATGGCGTGGAGCATAGTCGAGCGGGAAGGGTGGATCAGGTTTTGAAGGGATAAATTGATCCACTCGTTTGACATTAACTTTAAAATAAGACAAGATAAATTTAGAATTAAACATAGCAAAAAATTAACTACTATTTATAATTTTTCTCCAAGTAGATAATTAATATTTCATAAACCTTTATAAGGATTAAAGGATAAATTTATTCACTCTCTAATTTTGTCACTATTTTTTTGATAGAATAAATATAATTATATAATAATTTATTTTCCACAAATTAAAGGTAATTTTGCGATAAAAATAGTAAATTTCTAATCTTTATAAAGTCCCTATAAAGTCCCTAATACTTCTCTAATATATCTGATACTCATAAAAGATAAGATAACATAAGAATATAATTTTAAATGACTAACCGATTGCTGCTGTCGTACTGCTCTTTGTTGTCCGCATCATATCTTATCACACCAGCCGCTGGTATCTTCGTGTATGTATCCTGACGTTTGAACTGTCTCCTGTGATCACTGATGTTCAGAGGAATATGAGACGGCCTCGGAATTCTGGATACCATATTGCTGTTCTGATGATTCAGACTGTTTTCCGCGTTGTTCGTGATTTGCTTCGCCAGGCTCTTGATCGTTTCCTTGCAGTTGTCGCAATAATTCGCTGCGCAAGAGATTGAAATGTGCGGCCTCACCGATTCACCAACCGACACATCGACCAACGTCTTTTTCATCGTCGAGGTGCCGAAATCTCGACATCTCGGTGTAAGACTGGAAGTGTCGGTGCCACGAGCGACGGTCTTGATCAGGTCTTCCACCATTACCATCACCGCCACAGATTTGCAGGCTCTCGTCTTTGTCCGCGTGTCACCGTAGTTGAACGAGTGACTCCTCGAGTTCATCAAGTTCAACGACACTGGTGGCTGCATCGCCATTGGATCGGGTCCAATGCACACGCTCCTGGTGCAAGGATTGAGTTTCACCTCGATCCCGACGTCTGATGTCGTCGGCTTAGCGATTACACTCACGTGAGAACGCATTCTAAATTGTTCCGTCACTTGGATTATTTGATCTCGCTTCTCGATGACTCTGGGCATTTCCGGGCTACATTGAGTACTCTTAGAGGAAGTATCTTTTACCAAGCTATTTTTATAGTTTCTTAAAGCGCGTTCCGCAAGCAATTCAGCATCTTCTTTTGTCCAAACGTCCTTCATATTCAATCTCGTCGTTGTACTGCAGGAACGCTTCTTGATCTCTTTTTTCGCTTCCGGTGCGATATCCTCAATCAAAAAGTGACTGCACTGAAGATTTCTGGACCTGTTTTCTGTGTTGGTACCAAAATCTCGCGTCTTCCTCGTGATT